TAAAGCATTGCTTTACAACACTGAACTATAGTTTGACTACTTTTAAGCAAGCAAGTTAAAACAAAGTAGTTAAGTTCTTTCAAAACTTCCGACTATATGATACAGTTAAATGAAAATAGTTATGCACAAATAAGATATTTCAAATATCTGGATTCAATAATAAACCAGAGAAATTATATTTTTATGAAAGAACAAGATCTTTCAAAAAATGTTGTAAACCTCTAGATTCGAACATTTTGAATATTTATATATGAAAAGATTTTCGATATTTTTTAATGGAAAATGTTAACTCATATATTGAACCAGTGATGGAAAGCAAAATCATAAACTTCCTCTTTCTTTCAATTCTTTTTTTAAACAACAAGAAACCGCACAGCACTAGATTCCTGAAAGCGTAAAGAAGTTGCTTATTTATACTTGATCTTATACTTGATCTGTCCAGTTATCTTGATGGAAAAAATAGCAAGGCGAACCTTTATTTGGTTTCCTAACAAATTTTCCAAGACTTATAGTAAGTTGCATTCAATACATTTATTTTCCAATTTTCAGAGAAATAAAAGTTACAACTTTCTCTCTGATGATGTAAATTAGTAGCATGACTTTTATGGCTGACTTCTATAACCTGGCTTTAACGGAACAATTAGCACTTCTCTGGACACCATGTATTGACGATGTTGAACTGTCCATTTTCAAATTTTTCAAATAAGTATTGAGCAAACTGCATACCAGCGATTTCTTCAACTTTAATTAATATTCGATGTACCATACCCATCGAATATTATGATGTCAGCATGACATTACTATAATTACTTAATATTCGCAATATAGCTATAATATTCAAGCCTAGTTCATCACTAACAATTTATGAGTCAATTTTGGATCTTCATCAATTGTAAACTTTACTAGAGCAACGTTATATTATTAGTAAAAGATTTTGAGCAACTTTCGCAAGATTCACTTTCCACATTTCACAGGAAAATGTCGGTAAAACCTCTAAAACCACTTCGAGACGATCAAAAGCAAACGCAAAGGAACTCTATCACTTCTTATGAACGGCGCAGAGGAAAAGGAAAGAAAACTATATTAGATATATATAATATATTAATATATATAATATATTAACTATATTATATTAGATTGACTATCACAATCTAAAGTGCATTTAGGGTCTTACAACCTAAATCGTTTCAAGGATTGTGTAGAACTAACAAAGAATAACGTAAGAACTATTACGAGAATACTAACCGGTCACTGTAGATTGAATAATCACCTAACAAAGTTATGGATTCAACTAACTCAGACTGAAGATGATGAGTGCCGCATACCACGTACTAGTGGGATGTTCGGTACTGATGCACAAGCGAAAGAACCACCTAGGAGGGTATTTCATGAAACATCGGGACTTAAGGTTAGAAAAGATAGGCGCTACACTGTCTTTCAATCAGACTTGGAGGAATACTCTAATCCGACTAAGGGGCAAATAGATCTTTTAAATTGTAGTATACTAATTCTCATCCTAAAAATAATAAATTTTTCTACAGGCTTAAGATTACGCTAAAATTCATAGAGAATGGCAAACTAAATCTCTTGCTGTTAAGATGGAGGAATCTGCACTGAATCTTTCTCATCAAGTTTTCGCTTTTTTGTTTCCATTTTAACTATTATATGTAACGTTTTAAATACTACCGTAACTAAACAAATTCCACATACATAAAAAATGATTAAAAATGATTAGATGATTAAATTCTATGCAACAAGTAATATCAAGTATTTTTTCGTAAATTATGTTTAATTGGCACATAAAAATATAAAATAAAATATAAAATTAAAAAATGTATTTTCTATTTATTTTGATTTCTATTTAATTAATTCAGTGAAAAATATTGATATTTTATTTTATATATATATAAATACATATAGTTTACGTTTTTGGAATATAATATATTTTCTTATTTTATAAAAATGTTAAATATGTTAAATCACATTAATTGATATATCCCTAAGAGCAATTGCTAGTAAAATAACTCTCATTTCCTATTTAATAAAACCCCAAATTCCTACTAAGTTTTCCCTGGAGTAAATACTTTTGACATATATTATACTTAGCTGCTTTTATGTTCACCAAAACTGACAGACAGACATATTATTTCAGTAGATTTATAGCGTTCTAAATATAGATTGACATTCTCCTTGGTACGAGTACTTGTATGTTGATGTATGTTTCAACCTATTTTTTTCTGTTCCATATTTTAACTTGAGGAGATTTGCCGAGGATAGGCTCACAAAATTCACATTATTTCAACATTAAAAGCGAGTGTCAGTCTCAAGGCATTTTTTTATGGATTTCATACAAAAACGTTTATGTCTAACACGTTGTATGTATTAATGCGCTTGTGTGCGAATATGTGAATGTGTAGAAGTGTGCACGTAAGAATTCGCTTTCGTCACATCAATTTATGTTGCGTTGCGTACACATATGCCAGATGCTGCAAGTGGGCCTTTCGCACTTAAAGGGGCCGCCACAGCCCAGCATTGAATTTGCCAAAACATCCTGCGTATCCCTAAAATGTGTGGCAATCACTTTTTCGGCTTTTGTTGAATTTCATTTTATTTCGTTACTTGTACACATTTTGATTTTTATTTTATTTTCACGATTTAGAGCAATTTTCATATAATGCATAAATTTTACTGATTTTATTTGTTTATTTATGTGTGATGCTGCCGTAGAGAGAGAGAGATTTTGTGTAGATGTCTGTGTCTGTATCTTTTTCGTAATAATCTTAAAATTGTTTAACTAACTCAATTTTGGTAGCTGTTTTGATAAGACTCTTATTGTAATTGTTATTGTTGGAGTTTTGTGGTCTTAAGTATGAATATATATTTTAATAATTTGAAAATTTAATACAAAAATCAACATCGAAATAAGATTTTTTATAATTCACTTTGAAGAAAATTGCCGTAGAATATTAGTATTAAAGATAACTTCAAACACGCTGCACTTATTTAAAATAATTCAGGTTAAATTTCTCACTATTTATAGCTAATTTAAAATAATAAAAATTTTGTACTTGAAAGCTACAATGACTTTTTCATATTCATTATAATTTTTTCTACACTATAAATTACTAATAAATATGATTTTTGCAATGCAGATGATGTAAACATTAAATTCTTTCATAAGATATTAATTAAATATAGAATATACAAATGACTATACAACTTATATAGCATAAAAATATGAAGATCAACAAAACATTTGGTAATGAAAAAACTGAACTTATGTATGAACAAATATCCTATTTTACAACATGATATATTTCATGAATAAAATATTTATTATCTGCAATCTAATGCTGTTAAATAATACACAGTTGACTTTCTGTTATATATGTAGCATAAAACTGATAGTTTTTGGATTAAATATTTTGAATCCTGAGCCTCTAGTCAAATTCGCCAGAATATTTCAATGGACAAATTAGAAATATTAGCAGAAATATCACCATATTATTTAAGAATCAGTATACAACTAAGTACCATGACTTTATACCAATTAGGTTTAAATAGATTGAAATATATTCAGCGCTTTAAATACCTAAATAGTAAAGAGTGTTAATTATAGACACAAGAAAAAATTGAAATTGATGGCATATTCGGCAAGCCAGCTAAAATAATAATTAGGACTATATACAATGTTAGAGTACAAAAACTATATATATAGAGATCTCTGACATCTCTTTGGGTTTCATTGTTTTGAGGCTAACTAATTATGTCTATTGATAAAACGAGAAATAGCGCTTGATTCAATACTTCAGGCTTTATTCAACAGAATCGAATCTGATAAGAAGTACTGGATTTATTTCGTGATAAATACAGGACTTGAGTAAAAACGATGTTTCATAATATATTTCACAGAATCTGCTAGCGCTAGAGTTCTTCAATTGCATCTTTAAAAAATAGTAGTTGATAGAAACATATCAATTTGAGAAACCAGTTATTGATATAAGTTCAGATTTACTTGAACTTGGAAGCCTCTGACAATTTTTGTTGTTGACCTGATAAGATTTCCGTAGATTGAAAGTATATAAATACGCTATATTTTCGGTACTATTAACTTCTGATTGTATATATACGGCATCACAATGGGCCAATAGGCCTAAGTGGATCCATTAGGGATCACCGGTATAACCTAACCTAACTTCTGATTTACTATTTCTGAAACTATATTAAATATGAAACAAACAATACATCAGATTTAATTGATGATTTAATTTATCATCGAAATATTTAATTAAAGCGAAAATACTAATTACGTATTTTCAATAAGTAAAATACATCTTTTAACTGGAAAAAGTTTAGTTACATATAGATTATGCTGTTGTTATGAGAGTATTTCTATCTACACCACCATTTTCAGCTATTTCAAAGTATTTAGGATTAGTAAAGTACCAGTAGCACAAAGTACACGTACTCAAAGATTTTTCTTAGGAGAAAAAATCATTCGTTTTTTTTCATTCGCATCCAAAATCTGATGTATAATTAAAGTAATATTTGGATTTTATTATATTCAATATTAAAAGTCCAATTATATGTTATGTTTGTACTTCTATGTATATAGTATATACATATTATGTTTGTACTTCTATGTATATACTATATACATAGAAGTACAAACATATGCATATACATATACAGTGTATAGAATCTTGTTATATGGAAGAAATTAATTGAAAATTCGATATGTTACTCATAGTATTAGAAATAGTACTGCATTATAAAGTGAACACAACACTTCCGTATCGATAAAGAAATTAATCAGAAAATAAAATGTTTTTTTTTTAAAAAGACTTTGAGATCACAAGGATATCGAAAATATATTCTTTATAGATAACTCCTCAAAAACGTTGCAATTAATTTTATTTAATCAATTTTAAATTTCATTTTAACATTTTTAGAGCTTTTAAAATCAATTACTCATGTACGCATCCTTTTCCATTTTGCAGCAATTTTTCTATCACGACTTTCCGAAAAGTCATCAAACCACAACTCGTCGCAAAGTGTATAAAAACTGTCTGGTGTGTGACACTTGCATACGGGAGCTGATGGTACTCGACGTTCCGCCCCAGGTGAGTAAAAAATAGTTTTCTAAATGACTAAAAAATGAATGACAAAAAAATAAAAATATATGAAATGTAGGTTTTCACTTGAATAAATTATTATTTTTCACTTAGAATACCTGCATTTATAAAAACGTGTAAACTAAATCAAATGATACAGAATAACCACAAGCAATGAAAAATAAATTTATTAGTAGATAGTTTGATAGTTTGATGTAGCAAAACTGAAGTTATAAAACAACCTATGTATAAAGAATAAAATAATAAATCATAAAAAATTGAAAAACGGTTCAGTGAAATTTTATGAATTTTATCAATATATATATGTAGATTTCATTGCTCTAAATTTGTAGTAGTTAAAATGATTTACAGATGCTTTTTAAACACCAACTTATTTAAAGTGAACTGAGAATTTGACATGTTAAAGAATCTACGATTAACATATGCGTAAAAAATTGTATTTAAAATTATTCAATATCTCAGAATTCAATCTTATTTATACATCATTTATATTTGAAAAACACGTTTCAAAAATCATTACAAGTCGTTAGCCAAAATCCTTTTAACAGCCAAACACAAGTACGTGTCCTTGTACCGCATAAATAATTTATTCCATTAACTTGAAAAATTCAACAGTAGGCAAACGAAAAATTGACACATGTTGCAGAAGGACTAAAATAACTCAGTTAAGATACTAACATGTGTTGCGATTGAATGTTTTCTTTTATGTAGGTGTGTAGAAAAACTTTATTTTTAGCTAATTCTTAAATATTATTGTTATTTTTGTTATTGTTATTTTCACTACAATCTTCATATTCATTAAGATAATATTCTATAAAAAAGTTTTTCGAAAAGTAGTGAACTACAACAACAAAAAATCATTTAATATTATTTTAATTAATTAAATTATTTTGGCTAACTATACATATGTTTCGAGTATTGCCAAATACTCATCATCAGTGGTCTTGGAAATAATTCTTGTATTTAATTATTCGTAAATAATTATTTTTGAGACTGCAAGCACCAGGAATCGAACTCGTACCCTTTCAAATTTGTAGCTCAGAGTCAGTGCTCCTTAACCAACTGACCCAAAGCGGTACTTGACTTTTATGTTCGCACAACTTTCTGGAGTTTTGTTACTTTACTGTGAAAGTTTTTTATTAACAAATTCACTTGCTGTGTTTATATTAGAATGAAATCATAAACCAGCTGTAAAATAATTAAATTAATTAATCATATTTTTATTTTTAATTGTTAAATTTTAATACTATTATCTTTGTAATACTGAAAAAGTCATGCTAATGTTACTCCACGATTTGCACTGGCAAGACCAATATTTTGTGAATATATATTGTGTATATATGTTATTGTCCAATTTTTCAGACGAAAGTGCCTATTATATATAATGGATTAGATAATATTGTGTTGTACAATATGATAATATTGTAAAAAAGAACAAAAAGTGACTAAAAGAAAAAGTAAAACATTAAATTATTAAATGTAAATATCTTATCTTAAGCTAAGATATTAATAATTAAATCTATAGAGCCAAACTCTTAAAGAAAGAAAAGGAAATAAATAAAAAAGCATTCAAATCATAAAAAGTAAAGATCTTAAATGTTTTATAGAAATTTTTACTTCCTTATTAATAAAATTAAATTGTACTTATTATGAAAGAAGTAGGAGTTTTTCCCCCGCATGAAACTTTTTGTCGAATTTGGATATATTATTTAATCAAAAACTTATAATCAACGAGTTTTTTATATTAAACAACGAACTATCTTCATGTTAATTTTTACAACGTATATTCCGCAATGAAATATCTCTTAAAAATATTTGTAATATCAAGCATTTTAATATCATGTTAAAATTCAATAATGAAGTTAAAGAACGACTATAATTGAGTTAGGGGCTAAAACGTGATGTTACAAATTTAAAAAAGTTTTTCTCTTCATTATTTTAAAATTTTATCATTAATTTTATAATTTCTAAAATGGAACTAACCTCAACTAATATTAAATTACTTTCACATGTACATGTACAAGTACAAACAACAACAACAAATGTTTATTATTTTTGAATTTTTACATATTTCGTAAAAACTACTCTACAAAAAAAACTTTGCACGGGCATAAAGTCTCTGGGTTCCATACTCTACTCCCAACTCGGATGAAGATTTTAAACTGCGAAAATTTCAATAAAAATAGCAGAAACAATTGGAAAGAAAATAATATATAAAGATATATGAAAAAATAGTTTTAATTGGTAAGTCAAAATAGTTTGACAAAAAAACGGAAATAGAGGTGCGCAGCTCTATGAACGGATTGAACGGAAAATCATGTTGTCAGATAAATTACGTGGTGCAAGGTGTTAGCTTTCCATTTAGTATCTACAAAAATATATGTGTTAACATACCTATATTAATTTTAGCTGGAGGAAAAAAATTAAATTAAACTCAGTTAGTAAACGTGAAATTAATAATTTCTATTATTTTTCTCAAAATTTAAGGTCAATAAAATTCTAATAGGACAATAATAACACATAAATAGCTAAAATAACTTCACATCATGGGAAAAAGAAGAATATTCAAAGTAAAGTAATAATAAGTTCGAAACTTATCGAAAAATTTTACCGTTCAAAACTTTCAATTAATTTTTAGAACATTTTTATTTCAAATTAATGTATAGAAATTTGAAAAAGCGTATTTCATAGATGAAAGACAACGAGTGCGCTGGTATTTTCAATGTTAAATGCAATCACATACATTGCCTTGTGTACTCGCTCCCAGCGTCCCATACACACCAAGTCAAGCAAAATAATTTATTTGTATAAAATATAGACCATCTTAATATACATTACCCAATATATGTTAGTTTACTCACCGATTCCACGCCACCCATTGAATTATTAAAACAACTATCGAAAATAAGCTTATATTTTAAATATGTGCGTGCATCAGATATTTCACTATGTATTAGTAGAAAAATTAATTTTCTAACAAATTCACTTACGTACGTATAAAATATTTACACTTCGATAATATTAAATTGGATCGTTATTGACTTTTTGAATTATTTTCATTCCTAAATTTTCTTCTCCTCTTCTAATTCTTTTCACTTGACATAGTGTAGTGGCTATTATCATTCACATCAATAATCGCGCTTCACTTATCATTGTTCCGAGCAGAATTTGCAATCGATCCATTTGTCTAGTACGGGCTCTTCTCGCTTTTCACTTGTGTTCATTTTCTTCTGTACAATTAGTTATTCCAAGGTTCTCTTTGTCTGACTTCATGATTGAATTAAGTTCGGTTTTAACATATAGTTCCTCACATTCCGAAATTAAAGCTCTTTGAGCTGTCTTTGAAATTCTTAACACACTGCTATACCTATATCCAGAATGTAGAAGCTTTAGTAATCTATTTGTAGCATTTTTAAATAATTTACTCAAGTTACTGTACTTAAAAACTATTTTTGTACTATTTTATAAAATGTTAATAAAATTTCTTGAAATTTTAATGATTTTAAATAAGTTTTTCTATTTGTCTGACTACATGACAAAATAAGCAATATATATTCCAGAAGTTGTTTTTATAAGTCCGGTTATAAAGATATTAGTTCTTCAAGCAAACTATAAAATTTTTAATACTCGACGATATACCCACATTTTAAAGACAAACCTTTTATATGAAAGATTTTTAAATACACCCTTTCTACACTTGAAAATTATTTGAGTACTCTTTTATGAAATTATTTGAAATTTTATAAGATTACAACCATTTTTAATTAGTTTTTTTATGCACTTTATGCACTTCGCTCGATATCATTGTAAGATTTAATAATAAGCACAGAATTACTTCTTACAGAACTAAGAAGTAAACATTTACGAACACTTTATATCTATATTTACAAATATACTTACCATATATAGTATAAAACAATTATACTCCATTTACTCCGATAGTACTACCCAGACACTAAGTCATTTGTCACATTCTTGTTTACAAGTTTAACAAATTCCTTTTGACTTTAATTTTACTTTAATAACATTACTTAAACTCACTCCTTAAATTTAGGTATTTGAATTCTTGCCTTCCAGATACTTAAGTTCACATATTTGTTACACTTGTATCTATATATTTTCCGTTTTCCACTTTTATTTGTCATAAAAGAAAACTTGCTTTTGCTGCACTTTACCTACACATACATTACCTTACCTTGGTTTTAACATAGCTTGGAGCAAGGCTGCAATACCTTCTACCCAACAATATTAGCCAAGTTAGTTACCGTGCTATGCAAATGCTACCCAAACACAACTTGTTCTACACAGCATAAACTGTAAGATTGCATGTTCCTTGCCATATCATGTTTTATACTTTGTTTTTGATGTCGATTTTTCCCTTGCTGGTTTTTAATATTATATTACTTTCTTGGTAAGGTAAATACACTCGCCTTTATAGCCTCCGGTTATTATGGTGCTTAGCAGTGAAATCTGGCACATAAAAATATAGCATATTTTTTCTCAATTTCAATTATACATTGCTTATCGTGCGGATATAAAAATGCAATAATAATATTGAAAAGTTAATGTGCTTTTAACAGTTATGGTTGCATACATCAGCAGATCCTTTGTAAAAATTATATAAATAAACTTATATTTGCTTTGATTCAATAAATTATATTAAATAAAATAAAATATATTATTATAATAACATATGCAATTTCAATAAATCAAACAGTTTAATTGTTATAGAGTTTCTGTAATATTTTTTATTTACTTGTGAGTTAATAATGTTACTCATACGTTAGGGTGTACGTTTTTATTTGAGAACTTTTTTATTTAAATTTAATTTCCTCACATCGTTTCCTTTCGTTGCATTCGATTTTCTGTAGTTTAATGCAAATTTATGCAATGAAAATATTATATTGATATTTCATATTTGTTTTAATAATTTATGCCGTTTGAAAATATATCGCTATATGTGCAGTATTCTTAACTTCAGAGTGTAC